CCATTTGTTGTGATTTCACAGCAATATTAATTATTTTTTGTTTCTTATCCCCAACTCTTCAGAACTTGTTTTCTTTGCAGCATTTTCCTTGTAGTCAGGAAGGAATTTCACATTCTTTTAGAAAATCTAACAAAATACAAACATAGAAAATTAAGTAGTTGGAACATAAAAAAGCAAGTAGCCTAAGAGTTGTGATTCAGAGAACTGGTAATATCAATTTTATGATTCATGAAGGTTTTATTTAATCAGGCATTTACACATTTGTATGTGAATCTTACGTGACATACACCCCAGTTTGCAACAGCTTTTGAGTGTCGTGTCTGATATTCCCATACACTGCTGACAGTATGTATATTCATGAGTTTCATAACATTTTCCTGCATTTGTGCTCACAACAGATTTCGTTTCAAAGCACCACTTAATTCATGTAGTACATGATGTGCATGTAGTACATATAATTGTTTCTCGTCTGGATGATTATTTTGTGACACCTAGTGGATATACTGATAGTTGTGCCAGTTCAAATTTCCTTGGATTGTTTGGGTTGTCTGAATATACATTCTGACCTGCAAACTGGACTCACATTTTAAACACATAGAATTTCGATCTTTCTTTCTTACCTTCTCTCTTTTTCCCTTTTTTTTTTTTTTTTCCTTTAAATTTGATCCTGGAATGGTTTGGTCATAATCTGCTGAACAAATACTCAGCACCCAAAAGTCTTGAGGAAATCCCATTAGTTCTAAAATGCTACAAGATAGTAAGAATTTGAAAATTTCATGATACTGGTAAATCAGAATCTCAGTATGTGCAATGTGTGATCTTCACCCCTCAGCTTTTTCTACTGTATCAACTTTTCTACATAGTGGAGTAGAAGTTCCCTGTGGAATTGAGCATGTGTTACATAAAATTATGAAAGGTTACAAAGAAGTACTCAGACTTTTCACCCTTTGAGAGCTAATAGAAATCCAGTTCCTTTACAGTTCATAGAAAATGAAATGTGGTAAATAATTAAATTATTATTCTATAAACATGAGAATATATTTAAAATACTTACATCAGTAAATATAGTCTAGAAATACCTTAAATGTGTGACCCATTTTCATGACTAAGATATATCATATGAAGTATATCTTAATTTACATGTCGTGGATTCTGAGCCTGAAGCTTATTTTGAAGTCATTCATCCTGCAGGCAGAGTTGAATTACTGTCTTGTGTGTATACTAAAAATGCTGGGAAATAAGAAAGTCAGTATTTTTATATGCCTGGTTTTTATGTTCATAAAGGGAGAGGAAGTTTGGTTTTTTGGACAGTGGCTTCAAGTCTGCTTGCTCTGTTGGTGAGTTGATGCTGTTGGTGTGCATATTTATAACTTCATAGGTGGTATGATATATTGCTTTCCCAATAGGTCCTAAATTCTGGCATACCAGAGAAGATGCAGAGCAATAGCTCACATGATAGCTAGGATACAATTTTAGTAGTTCTTAAAAAGGATCTAAAAGGAACTGTGAAGTACATTTATTTATAGATAAAAGATTGTGTATTTTTTATATTTGGGGAATTTGAACTGAGTTATCCAGAAGACATAAATTAACTTTGAAGACCATCTTCAAAATTTTTCTGTTTTACCTTGGCACTCTTCACAGAAAATTTCTGTTTCCACTCCCAAAAGGCTTCAAAATCAGGAAATGCGATACTAAACTGTGTCTTTAATAGCAACTGATATGGCATTCTTTTCCTGTACTCTTCACAGTTGCTCATCATAACATTTCTCCTGTGACTTTGGTTTATGTAAAATTAGAGCCTGTAGCAACAACATCATGAATAATGGACACAAAGTCTGTAACACATCATTGAATGCTGGCAAAGATCCGCTTACTCTCCACCACCTGAAGCCATGGTTCGAGTTCATTAATGAGTGTTTAACTAGTGAAAGCTTTAGTCTCAAGTAAAAAGACTTACACTGGGGTAAATCTATTGAGAGTCTCAGTCACCTGAGAAAACCAAAGGTTGTACAGAGGGAACTGAAAGCAGGCAGAGCTGTGTATCTGGCCACCCGAGCTCCTTGCCTGCAATTCATGAAGAGTGTTTATTGTGTGGATATGTGCCATATTGGTGTCACTGCCCCAGTCACCCCAGGGCACTCCAGATTCCTAATTCGACTCCCTTGGCACACATATCTACAGCAGCTGCCTCCCTTGCACTTGACATCAGCTTGCTGTGCTTGAAGTATCCCTGCAGGTCATCATGCTGACGACCAGCACAGTCTGGGATGCCTGGTCATGCAGTCTCCACAGGGGAGTGGAGACTGCAAGTGAGGGTGCAACAGCCCTGGCAAGGATCAGCAACTTTTGGTGATTTCCCTCCTCTCTTTTTTAAGGTTTGTGCTATGCAAACCTGAGCTGGGTCTTGGACTGGGCTTTGTATCGGATGGCTAATGAGACCAGTAATCTCATTAACTTGTGCAGGGAGTATATGTATAAGCCTTCTTTCCATTGACAGTAACAATAACCAATCACAATAACCAATCAGAGCAGAGACAAAAGAGTTGTGGCAAAACCACCTGTCTATATTTTGAATTATATTACAAAAGAGTAAGAAAGCTGCTATTATACATAGAGGTTATCTGCTGGTATCCAAAGAAAAACACTAATTGGAAAGTAAAAGGCATCTTAATAATTAGCAGCATTGTTAGCAGTAAGGTCTTTGAGGTTGCCAGGACTTGTAGATATGAAACATGAAAGCCCAGTTCAGGCTCCAAAAGGAGGGCTAAGGGTGAAGACAAAAGGCAGAACATGAACCAGACACAGCTGTGTCAGGAGCAATCACATCTCCAGAAGCTGAGGCATGCATGCAGCCTTCAGCTGTGTGAGTGGGCAGGCTCAGCAGAGGCCTTTGCTTCCATGTCCCTTAACAGGTGGAGTTCTCTCACTGTCACCTGATACACCATGGGAAGGTGAAGCCTCATCCCTCTCTGTGCTTAGCATCCCCTTCCAGTGTGTTTCAGCACTTATGGCCCCATAGAAGTCTCCTGTGGGTGGAGGTGGTATGTTGATGCAGCCTCACAATGTTAGTTTGGTCCCTGGTGAAACAGTAGTAGTTCCTTATACAGGCTGAACTGGCTGTGAATTTAGGACTGCTTAGGATTTTAAATAATGTGGATTGATTGTAGTCTAACTCAGTCAATGTAAATACTTCTGCTTTTGCAAGTAAACCTCTTGTTCGGGTGTGTAACCTCCAGAAGGAAAAATACAAGTAACCAGAAATAACCAACCCAGTGCAGTTATAGTTTGTAAGGACTGCATAAGTATTTTCTCTGTCTTAATGTACATAGACTTCCAGACTTCTGCTTCACCATCAGGATGAAGCTTGAGCACAGCAGCTCAAGCCAAATGCAGTCCAAACCTCAGAACACTGTTCTGAGGTGGAATTTAATTTTTGACTTTTAGCAGTGTTTTAAAACAAACATACTATATGTTTTGCTGGTTTTATGCCAGTTTTTCACATAATGCTATCCACAATTCCAAATATTGCACGTCTGAAATGATTATGACAGATAGAACTGTTTACAAACTTTGCTTAGCTGATATAATACAACGTTATTCTTTGTTAGCACTTCCTTAACTTTATCGTGATTGTGTCAATAACAAATAAAAGTGTGCATAGGTGTAAATACAAAATTGTGGAGTAGATCTATCTAAACCTGAGTTATTTAGATGACTGGTCTAACCCTGGGTTCCAAACTACTAATTTCCTCAGTACTACTCATAAACTGCCTTATCTCACTAAGGACTAAAATTTAAAGTGGGAGTGTTATTTATGGTGCAAAAGACAAAAGACAAACCTGTTTTGTCTACAAACCAGAATTATTAGTGCAACTGCATTTCTGTAACGTGAAATTTAGTTTATTGATGAGACTTAGAATGTATTATTCCATCTGACATTCTCTCTTGGTGCTTAATTAAGTCAGAACTTACATATACTGTTTTACTGCACGTTTTAGAAAAAAAAAATAGTTTCCAAGCATTTAAATTCTTCTTACACTGAAAATCTAGCTTTCCTGAAAAGGAATTTGCAGTGAGGATGTCAGTTTCTGAGAGAACATCAGATTAACAGTTTTAACAATATCTTGTGTCTTTGGTTGACATTATTTTCCTGGTTTACATGAAGAACTGCAATTAATAAAGGTTGTAATCAGTGATAGCACATAGGCTAGATGTGACATTGTATGAATTGCACCTGTTAAAAAGCCAAGTCTAGTTAACTTAAGCATATACCTTATTTAAGATTCTCTGTGTAGTGAACACTTTTTTTCTATCAAGAAGTGCTTGGAAACATTACTCAAAATAATTGTTTGTGTTATGGCCAAGTATATATAGTGAGATGGGTTGGAAGATACTGATCCTGATTGTTCCTGCAGTTGGACTTGTTTTTTCCATGGGGAATTGGGAAAGGTGTGATTTTGAAGAGCTAGGCATCACTTACAAAGAAAAGACAGGGTGCATATTTTATAGTGTCAGATTTCATGTTCAGCGATATTAAGCAAATCCAGGTGACCTAAGCTGAGGAGACAGTTCTTCCAAAAAAAAAAAAAAAAAAAAAAGATCCAGTAATCAACATCCTAAAACAGAAATATTTGGGGGGAAGGGAGTCATTGGTATTTCACTTTTCTATCATCTATGTGAAATATAATCTGAGATAGTGCATGGGGATGAATTATGAATGTTTAGGAAAGAAGAAAAGGGTTATGTGCAGGTTTTATTCTTTGCTATCTCTGACAAGAGAAAATAACACTGACATTATCTTAGCCTTTTTCTTAGCAAGAAACAATCCCTAATTTGTCACAGCTTCACCTCCTCTTCCTGCAGAGAGTCATCTCGCTGATAAGCCAGTCCTTGCTTTTTTGCCTTCATGCTTGGTGAAGTATGAAAAGTACCTGTAACGTTTGTTTTTGGTAAGACACATCTCGCTTACTCATGGTGGATCTGCCCTTCCTACACAGGCTTTGTCTCCCATGGATCCTGGCCTCACCCCATTTTCCCACTGGGATCTGCTGAATGTCATTTCTGCCCTCAGGAGCTGGGAAGCACGGCTCAGGCTGAGATCCTGCTGCTGCTGCTCCCACAGATGTCCCTGTCACGCCTGGCAGCCGGCTTAGGCTGGGCAGAAAGCCCACCAGGGCCAGCACAGCAAATCAGCTGGTAAGTGAGCAGGCAGAAAAATTAGGCTAGGAAAACATCAAGGGCAAATATTTAAGTTGTACAAACAAATAGCTCCTAATACGCTAAACAGTTCTGCTTTCTTATGGAGTTTATTTAAAATAAAAACAAAGCAGGTGTCTCTTTAAATATTGATTTGCTGAGGAATACAAGTGCAACAGACAAAGTAGCCAGTGGTTAGCTCTGGTTTAGCTTCTCTTTTTATGGAAGCTTTGAGAGATGCTGAATGTTTTTATCATTCTGGGTAGTTTTGCTTATTTTTAGCATTTGGAGTATTACATAAGCAGAACTCAGAAATAAATGGAATAGAAGAATAAAATATGTCAGTGTAAGTGCTACAGTTTGCATAAACAGAAGGTATGATCTGACACTGAAAAAAAACAAGGTGCTGCTTTGATAGAAAATGGTCTTTTTCCTACTGCATGTCCTTTTGAAGTATCTGTTTATCATTCAAGACATTTCACAGTGGTCAGGCTAAGAAATGCTTGACATACATTTATGGAACATGTCTGTGAAGGTGCAGAAGCCCTTTGATGTACACCCAGCTCCAGCTCCTTGTCTTTAATTCTAGCCAGATTCTTGTACACCCATTCAGTAGGTTAAAGCAGCAGTTATTAAGCATGTTCCATTTTTATGTGACAGTGTTAAACCTTTTATGAAAAGTGTTACATAAGCATTACTTATGTGGAGGAATTTAAGTGAAGTTAGAATGAGTCCACATGAGAGTATGGAAGCCCTTACACAGGTCTGCAGTTGTAAGGCTGCAGTGTGTCAGATGTAATTACTTGCACTGATGTATGTTTTTATGTGCTGTTGCCATTTTTACCCCATATCTAGAATGTTCAAGATTTTAGGAACATCCATAAATTACTACAGAGCTCAGAAACACATATTCCACAGAGTTCTGGTATAACAGCTACTTTTTGCCAAATTTTTCTGAACAGTTTGATAAAGAGGATGGTTTCAGTGACTATGTGAAATTATTTAATAGAACTGTGTTACAGCACCTATAATGTTCTGTGCAATAATGAAAGTTAAAAAGACAAAATAATGTGACTAATTTTAATAGAATTAGGGCTCAGTACAGTCAGTTGCTTCTAAATTCTGTTCTAATGTGAAATTTAGACAAACAATTGAGTGTAGTAGACTTGATGCTGTGAATATTTCCTATTGTGCCCCTCTGAAGCTGCAGCAGAATCCATCCTAATTTATAAAATTATGGTAATGTTTTACAATTTGTGAAAGAACTGTTGTTGCCAGTCTTAGAAGCAGCTGTGTTTCAGTAGTGGATTAAGTCACTATATACATCGTGTTTCACAGGAGTTGCAAAATCTGTGTTTGTAAAATACTTTTCACTTCTTGAAGGATGTAATCTACATGAAAATGTAGTGTGTTATTTTTGTTATATTTACTTAAAAGTAGACCTGGAAATATTGTATGTGAACTTTGTTACATAGATCTCAGGAGATGATCTTCTCTCCTCCCACTAGCTTCTGTCTGAAATCTTCAGAACAGTTACCTGCCATGGTACTGCTGTCTGGCTTGACAGGGCAATGTATCAGTTTCATTTTCTGCTCAGAGGCTGTTGGACTCAGTCAGAAGGCTTCCCGTGGTATCAGCATCCACAGCAGTAGAACCTCCACCATTTACTTTGCAACCACTCTCATTAGCACAAGATTGTGACATTTATAATAACGAAAAAAGCCTACAGGAGCACAGTGGTGACTGGACACCACTTTGGAAGCCAGAAAATAGTCATGATGTGGAAACAAGCTGGAAGCCACTGATCAGGCCTGCATGCATCCCCTCAGCCTTGCAGGGTCCCTTGGGGCTTGCCTCGAGCCACACATTTCTCTACTGCAGTCACTGTGCACTTGCTCACATATGCACCTGAGCCATTTACCTTCTTCCTGGGAGCACAGGGAGGTTTTGCGTTTGCAGATCATTCCAAGTTTTTGTGTGGAAGGTGCTCCAAAAATTGCAAAGTGCTTGTTCTGTATTGTCCCAGAGTTTGTTAATTATTAAGGCTTTTAATTATGTAACAATTCAACTTTAAAACTGTCATCTTTCGTGTTGCATCATAGAAATAGCAGAGTTGGCTCTGCACCTTTTTAATAGTGACTGCTAAGGTATTTATTAACATCTGTTCCAATACATTTTTCACTGAACATTGAGAGAATATGGAAATGTCATATTTTTCTTAGTATTAAGCAGTTGCTAAACTACAAACTCTTGCCAGATATTTTGTATGCATGTCTTCTTCATAGAAAATGAGCATGCACTTTTCTTTCATTAAGTATTTTAAAGTTCATCCTTGTTTTGTGACCTAATCAATTGAAGTGAGTTTATGAGCAGCTTGTGAGAGCAGAAGAATGATTAATTTTGTGTTGAATAAAGTGCATTCTTTTCCATTTTTATTTGCTAATGAATACATTAAACTGTTCATACCCATAATAACAGATCTTATAGAAAATAGTGTGACAAAAAGCTTACAGCACTTTATAAATAACTCAGTATTTGTAAACTAAATTATTACTTTTTATGTGGCAGATTATACATTAAGGCAATATTATATCAGAACTTCATGTATTGAAAAAAATCTTTAACATTATCAAAAGCTTAGCTGTATTTACTAGAAATAACTGAATCCTTTTGAAACGTTCCTTAAAAATGCAGCATTTTTTCAAAAAGGTGAATATTTTCCTTTCTCCTAATGAGAAATGCACCTATGAGTGAAAGTAAAGCTAAGGCATGCTACAGATAGGCAGCAATGTAAATCACTACAACATGCTTAGGCTTTCCAAAATTTTGCCGCTGTTTGAATCTATGTTTTCACTTCTGCCATTGGAATCACTGGAGTCACTTCAAGTTTAGGATTTCCATCTGAAATTTCCAGTGATTTGAGTCTTCTGAGGAGCTTGGGCTTTTCACTACAGTGAATATATCATTTTAATGCCTTTGAACTGCTTTCACTGGACTATTCAGCATAAAGAGCAGCTACACTGAAGGTTACTTTGTTTTTCTTCTTTCACCCTAAAGGAAATGCTTATTCAGAAGTCTCATTTTGAAGTAAAACACAGAGTACTCAGCTTTCCTCCAATTATGTTACATAATGCTGATTTATATATAAGGATGGGTTTTGTTTTGAAGTGGAAGCCCTTTCTGTGAGGTGACTGTGCAGGCCACAGGTACTCACTTACCTGGCGGTTCCAAAATTCACCAGCTTCCACACTGACTTTTAGCCAAAGCTCCTGTATGAATTGTGAAGTCCTAACACTGAAATCTCTGACCACACACATAAAGAAGATGTTTAATTTTAAACATTTTATGTAAAAAAAACAGGGACAGGATAGTTCTGTGTTTGTTTGCTTGTTTGGTTTTTGGTTTGTTTGCTTTCCAGAGGATTATTCAGAAAGGAACGGACTTTGCCAAAAAAGCTCACTCTCAGAAAATGCAATTTTTAAACCCTTAAGTATATAGAGAAAACTATGGAACTTTGTGCTCCAGAACTTTCCAAACGACTTCCTTTGATAGTAGTTACTAGTTTAAGAGGTTTTGAAATGTCTCTTGCTACTCTTTTTGTATAGTATATGAAGAATATCTACTGTGATCTTCAGTGCCATTGGTGTTGCCAGTTGCAAATTCAGGGTTGTTCAGCGTTTTCTCCAATATGGTTGCCTGAGAGAGGACAGTTGCACCACTGCAGTTTGGTGTCACAAGTATGTCCCATGTACAGGTTGCAGCAATCAGTAGCCTCTTCCTACAGGTGGCTGCAGTCCAGTGTAGTTAAGTGATCTTTGAAGCTCCCAGTGTAACATTGCCTGTTATAGATTAGCACATTGCTATGTAACTTAGTTAGGCATTTGTGTTTTCCTTCCTCCTCTAGTTTCTTTAGAAGTGTGTTTTTCCCTGAAAGTGAAGAAGCAAATACTTCAATAAGTCAATCTGAAAAAAAAAAAAGCCCAAAGCCTACAACCTTTCCTGTTTTTCACTATTCCTTGCCTCTTGTCTTTTTCAGATTTGGGGTGCCCCCTGGGGACCAATCTGATGGAATAATAACAACGGAAAGAGAAAGCTGGTGCTGTGAATGGGCCTCTGAGAAAATGTACAGAGAAGCTGCTGTCTGCTTTTTCACTAGCTGTCACTCACCTTATAATTGTTTCAGTGTGCACTGAAATGAAGTTGAAACATGCGTGTTTTCTCTTTCTGCATCCCGATTTTGATTGTGCTAAGAGCAGTGGAAGATCCCATCAGTTGCCCTGAAACATGACCTACCTACTTTGGGGTGAGATCTGCTTTGTTGTAAAGGATGGCTCTAGTTTTTCTGTGTGTATCATGTATCCTTGTCTTTAATTTGCAATTAACAAAAAAACGTTTTGCTTGGAGAAGGCTCCAGGAAGTCCTCGTTGTGGCCTTCCAAGACTTGAAGGGAACGTATAATCAGGAGGGGGAATGGCTGTTTACGAGGGTGGACAGTGATAGAACAAGGGGGAATGGTTTTAAACTGAGACAGGGGAGGTTTAGGTTAGATATTATGAGGAAGTTTTTCACCCAGAGGGTGGTGAAGCACTGGAACAGGTTGCCCAAGGAGGCTGTGGATGCCCCATCCCTGGAGGCATTCAAGGCCAGGCTGGATGTGGCTCTGGGCAGCCTGGTCTGGTGGTTGGTGGCCCTGCACACAGCAGGGGGTTGAAACTAGATGGTCTTTGAGGTCCTTTTCAACTCAGGCCATTCTATGATTCTGTGATTCTAAATTAGCTTTTTAAGTTGGAGTACTTGCTTGAAAACTTTATTTATTTACATTACAAATATGGACTGATATCATAGTTTTTGTCACTTGTTTGGATTTTTCCTGAGTGCAATGTGCATCAAACCAGATGGTGGGGAGTGACAGTGTTGGTGTGAGATTATGATACAGTAGTGGCAATTTTGCTAGTCATATTAACCAATGTCTGTGTATTACAGTAGGGTACATTTAATTTGACCATTGATTCAGTGGTGAGGTACTGTCCTTTAGAAGTAGCATGTTGCTTAAGTAAGCCATAATACTTTCTGACAGTCAGCAAATTCTTGGTTCAATCTTAAAGATTTACCCATGCAGAACTTGGGAAAGTCAGTAAGAGAAACTGAGTTTTTCTCCACTAGGATAACAGAGGAATACCTAGGGGGCAATGCAGAACAAATCCCTCTAATTCAGCATCTATTCTCTAAGTCGCTGTGATGCCTTTCTTTAACAAACAAAACAGTCATGTCAGAACTGGAAGTACAAAAGTGCATTTATTAAAAATGAATTCCTTATCCTCTTCCCTCTTGTGTATCTTGTCACTGACATGACTTCACATATTGCAAATCTATTAAGCTTTTAAAACATGAAACTAGAGCTCATTAAGCAAAATGTCAACTGGTATATAGCAAACTCTTTCAGAACGAAGACTGATAATGTTTGTCTCTGGAGTCTTTTGTCTTCTAGGTCATCAGCAAGTCATCCAGCTTTCTGGAAATAAAGTTTGTGGTTTCTCTGATCGGAGTCTGACTGTCCTTTGGGGTGAGGTAGTAGGTTGTATAGTTTTAGGGTTATGCCCTGCCTGTCAGATAACTATACAATCTACTGTCTTTCCTGAAGTGGCTGTGATATCATCGCTGGATATGTCTTCAAAATGCAAAGCAAATGTATTTCAACTGTAACATTCTCTGGCTCTGTCTATACGTTGGTTTTGATTCTTATGAAAGAAATGTCCTTAAAGTGTTTGAATTCCTCTATCGTTTGGATTGGAAAGCAGTTTCCTTTTTTTCATCTTCTCAGAGAAAGTGGGGTGTCAGAGGGCACAGATGTATCTTAGTCTACAAGGTTTGTTTATGCTCAATTTTCTCCATCTACCAGTGTGCTCACAAGAGTGGCCATTTGGAAAAAGGTGATCCATTTCTTCATTACTTTGTGGCATTTGTATTTATATTCCACCTTTTTTAAATGCCACTTTTTCAGCAGTTATGTAAATGCACCTAGCATAATTTGAGAAACTAACAAGTGATGACTTGGATAATAATACAAAGAAGATGTCTCATTTTCTGCTCTTGAACCAGTAAATGCTTGACCCCTAAGGGAAGAGATTTTTTTTAATCAATTTTTGAATTGTGATTTTACCCATGTTTTATTACATTGTGCAAATTTGGGAAGGAGAGTGCTTTCCACTGCAGTTCTTCTGTCTATAGAGTCACCCCACCAAGTCTGATGGACTTGCAGGAAGAAATCTGAGGAAGGGCAGACAGGACATAATTATGCTCTTTTTGAGGCTACGAAATGTGGGCTAGAAAGTGTTTAGGGGATCTTACTTATGGTAGGTGAAATGCTAGTTTGCTTCAGAAGATCTGCCTGGTGCTCTAACAGGATGAGGTAGTAGGTTGTGTGGTTTCAGGGTAGTGATTTTGCCCCAATCAGGAGATAACTATACAACCTACTGCCTTCCCTGATAGGCAGCATAACATCAGTATCTTAATTCACAGAAAAACCAAAGGCTAAAATAAACTTCTGTGACCAGCAAAGTAAGTCTACATACAGTTGTTGTTACCCAGTCCCTAATACATCTAACTTCAGTGTCTGGCATTATTTTTAATAACTGCCTACAAAATAATTATCTCTTTTAAGGTCTCTATGGGGAAAAACAGAATTAAAAAAGTTCTGCTATTCAAGAGTTTGTCTGTTCTTGATTTCTTTTGTTTCTGGTTCATTTTAGGGGATTGAAGTTTTCAGGGAAATGATTCAAAAAATGCTGTGGACTTGCATTCAAGTTGTTCATATTTCCTGGACATTTTAGTTTGAATGCAACAAATTTTACTAGCAGTGTACTGTTTTTGTTCAGCCCTCTGTCCCTCTCAGGAATCTTCCACTGTTTTACAAATAATTGTCACACAGCACTCTCCGGCAGATCAATTTTGTACTACAGATAAAAAGCTGTGATGATGAAAATCAAGGACCAGATTGAAAAGACAAAAACAGACATTGATTTTGTATCCTCACTTGCTCATTTCATCTCATCAAAGCAGTCTCCTTTCATGGCATTTAAATTGTCCTGAAAGTGAATTTGCTGACTACCTAAAAGGCACAAATTGTACCTGGAAAATCATGGCCAGGAAATGTTAGTTGGGTCCATTAAAGGCATTTTGAAATACAAACTGAAAAAAAAAAGAAAAAGGAAAACAAAACAAAACAAAACAAAATAAAAACACCCAGAAACAAAAACACCCCAACTGTGGAAATCATTTTTTCCACATGCAAAACTTTTCAGGAAATGGGAATCATGTAAAACTGAAGGTTAACTTAAGATCAGAGGTTTCAAGCTGGTTGCGTAGAGTCAGTCGTGTATATTTTAATTATACAGCATCTGATTACCGTAAATTGGAATGTAAATTTGTCATATCTGTAGCTAAGCAAGCCCAGATCCATGGTTAGAGCGAATAAACTGATACTATGTTCAGCAGCAGAACTTTCATTGCTTCTCTCATCCAAAAATATCACACATATCTGGACTCTGAGGGTTTTTGAGGTCAATGAACGCTTCAAAACAAGGCCATTTGTTCATACCGTTGATAAACAGTTAGGAATGTTATTTGACTTGTGTTCATAGAGATAAAGGCAGTTGGTAGAAGAGGAAAAATTACTCTGTGTCTGAAAAACTCAGGAGAATAGGCGATACTGTGGCTGGTTTTAATCTTCTCATTGTTTAAAGAGGATCTCTTAATTTAAAACTGCTGTGAGGATACTTGCCGTGCTGGCCATGTTCAAGGGCTCTGGGATTCTGAACTCTTTCTTCTGCTGGAAATGCAGGCTCTCAGCTGCAGCAAAATCATCTTAGATGAGTGTGAGCAGTGATTGCACCGTGTGTAGCTTAAAACGTGCTGCTACTCTCCAAGATGCAAAACTGTGTGGAAATTTCTTGCTTAGTTTTACATTCAGTAAATACATAGCAAATGTTCCATACCGGTGAAAGGGGTAAAAAGAGGGAAAATGTTCTGCACGTTCTACCACAGCCTGTTAGATCTCTTCCCTGAAGTCACTTTAAAATCTTCTGGCTCTGTCTGGATCAGCATTGTATTCTTGGGAATGAGCTGTGAGTTTTCAGACTCTAGTCATCCTGGCAATCGTGTTAAAGCGAAGGGCCAAAAGAATCCGTGGTGTTTGCTGCACTAGGATCTACGTGTGCCTGTATTGAGCAGTATGTGAGCCTACGGTTAATCAGGTCTGGCCCTAGCAGTAGGCGTCATTACAGCTAATGGGAACTGCGACAGAAACTTGAAAGCGCAACTCCATGGTGCCAGATGTTTTTCAGAATTGTATACAGAAATGCTTGTATCAAAACATAAGTAGTAGCTTCAGCTGGAATTCTTATTAAAAACAAGGGTGTTTTTTTAAACTCAACACAGCAGTAGTTCTTTCTGAGGTCATGCACTGTTCTGTGGCACTCATTAAGTGAGAGGAAAGCACGCAATCATAAGCTACATAATGTGTGATTTTATAATCTGTGTCTGCTTGTTTGTTGTTTTGAGGTTTTTTTTTAGTGTAACAGCACTAACTGATGAGCAGAAGCTGAGTATTTCCTGCTGGAATGAAGCCTGTACATTTGGCTACAGCAGGCCAGGTGAAAATCAGTGCTCACAGGACTTTCTGGGAGGCTGGGATTTTTGTAGAATCATGGAATGAATCATAGAATGGCCTGGGTTGAAAAGGACCACAGTGATCATCTAGTTTCAATCCCCCTGCTATGTGCAGGGTCACCAAGCACTAGACCAGGCTGCCTAGAGCCACATGCAGCCTAGCTTTGACTGCATCTAGGGACAGGGCATCCACCACGTTCTCGGGCAGGTGGTTTTAGTTCTCCTTTTCTGCCTTGGAGAGGGTACTTTTTTTTTTGAGACAAAATCGGTCACATAGACAGTGAAACCATCAATCAAGTTTCTGCCTTGAAGGCTACTGCTCACAGGTTTTAGATCTCTGTCTCATGGATTTGTGGAACATTGCACGTCTTCTTTGAGCCCATTCAATAGTGCCGTGTTTTTGGGTTTTACTTTAACATGCAAATCTCCCTATTCTCCTAAAACAAATGCCCAGCGTGAAAATTTTGTCTCAATTTGATAACAGACTAAAACAAATGAAAACGTTTTCAGACCAGCTGGATAACTCTGGCAGAAGTGTGTGCTACCAGCTGTAAAAACTTTCACTGTTGCTGTGCATGAGTGCTACAAGGTGCACACTGTGAGACTGTACCTTTGAGGCTGCCCTGAGAGGGCAAAAGCCTTGAACACAGAAGTAGCCCCTGAGATCTTCCCTGAAAGTGCAAATTAGGAAGGAGATTTATATAGGGAGTGGATCCAGAAATGCAGTAAGACCATAGCTGGTATGCCAGCCAGTGTCATTACAGATTCAGCATGACATACCAAATTGCTATACAGGAGTCACAGAGAGCTGGTGAAAAATGCCTGTCTTCCTTGTGCTTGCAGAGCTTCCCCATCTGCTCC